TGGCTGTTGCAACGCATGCATAAATCGACTGAATTTATAACTGGCAAATAATTTTATGCACTAGGTAGGTGCATATTATTAAGGTAGGAAAACATATGCTCACCTGACCAACAATATGAAGCCAGAAGCGATGTTTCTTCCGGATCTCGAGGATTTTCGAGACCATGTCGTTTTGTCCAAGAATTGTCGATCCAACAACAGCTATAACCAACAAAGGTTTCTTGCCGGCAGCAACGTCCTCGTCGAGGATACGTTCGAATGCATGGTGATCCTAGTAAGAAAAATAATTAGTAGAGAAAATTTTGGGGGTAAAACGAAGAAAGAATGGGCAGCATAAGCTTGAGATTGGCTCTCTAACACTCTTGTTTGTAAAATTCTTTACATGATTGCTAATCTAGAAGTCCTAAAAAATATTTGTGAAAGTCTAAGATAATCTTTCTACACTCAAGTCATTCGTGTTTAAAGGAGAAGTCGCCGAAAGGAAAGTCCAGTGCTGTGCAGACGTTTGCAACAAATGCGCATTCCTCTCCCCTACAGCTCGTGTTAGTTGTCCGCGTGGGTGAAAACCTACTGGTGATCTATTTTCCTCTATCCTCTGCACATTAATGTGCGCATTCCACATCGCGCGGTATCCTACGCCAATTTACAAGCTTTTACTTTTTGTTTCTTTTTGTTTCGGTGATCCATAGAAAAGATTCTGAGAACCGAATGCGGTCAATTCGTGGAATGCCATGCATAGTTTGCAAGCACACATCTCTAATTACAAGACTCGACTATAGCAGCTTATTGACAAACACTAGAAAATCAGACTGAGACTGGGACTTTTTCCTCATGTCATTCTTTTTAAGGCACTCCCAGGGGCAAAATGAATTGTAGGAAACGATTGTACTCACAATTCTGCCTTCGATTTCGCTCATATCCCCTTCAAGCTTTGGTAACAACACTACATCAGCGATTCCAAATTCTGAGGCTATATACGAAGCTAGATCCATATGAAGAGCAGGTGTGACGTATACGACTGGAGCTCCCTAGAGAAATTTATCTTATTGAAGGGTTATAAGTGCCGTGGGTTTGTTGCTAACTAACATGGGGTCCTTAGGAATAAGAAGAGATAACTTTTACCTTTTCCAAGAACGTCTTCCATCCATTATTGATATAATCGCTCCCATAAGCATCCTTCAACGCCAAACGAAGCGCATGCCCTAGAAACACTAATCAATTTGGTTTTTCTTCGACAAAAAAAGGAGGACACTGACCAATTCCATTCCTGACAGAGAGCGCCAAAGTAGCTTCAGATTCAGA